ACCAAATAAACAAACAAATTAGTACGACTATTTCAGACACAATCATTTTCATGCAACCAAAAGAGCACATTAAAGTCTTAAAGAAGATGAGATCTTTATGTAAATATTTAATTGAAGATAAGGAGCGTTGTCCATTAGTTGATTGAGATTGAAGAAGACCATGTGTTTGAAAGTTTATTCTTCCAACTTTAGCTTTTTATTTATTTATTTATTTAATGCAAATATTATTTGTTAATAAATAATTTTCTACCGTTCATCAAATTAAGTAGATAGATTCTTTAATTATGATTCATTACAAATAATCTCATTACGAAATTAAACCATATAAGCATAATTNGCATGCATGCGGACTGAGCAAATCATCAGTGAGATCGAAGATGAAGCCAAAGAAGAGTGATATGGAGGAACATATAGCTCAAATAATCTTTTTCTAATGAGAACGAAGTCAAAATCATTTGGGGATCTTATACAAAAATAAGCTAGAAATAATATAAATCTAATCCTGCTGAAAATTAATGAAACATAATCCTAAAACTATACAAGCAACTTTGCCCTCCAATTTGATCTTCGTCATTTAGCTAAAGCAATCAATTTGATGCAAAAATAATTCCAAATGATAGATAAATTTTTTGGTAATGTAGCACTAAATGACATAAAAAGGTCCCGCTGCCATTTTCAAAAGAGGAAGCAGTTGAGAATCTTAAAGAGTGGAGCCGCAAAAAAAGAGAGTAAATTAGTAAACAAAACATAAAGATTAATCTTCCAGGTTACGGCAACAACCCCAACTAAATCTAGAAAATGTATAAAACGAACCCTTGGCTGCATTCTTCTCTATTGGAAACCAACTACACGTAAACTAAAGAGTTTTCTAATCTCGAAAATAGTAGTGGTTAGCGCACGGTGAACTTTGTTTAATTAAACAATTGAATTAACAATAGCATCAAGGGATATATAGTCGAGTCTTCGGTAGCTACCTTCTGCCCTTGTCATTGCACTCTTCTCGCTATATTTCGGTTGTTGGAGAGCAAGTTTGAAAGAAGCTCATATGTCGCTTCTTGTTCACCTCTTCTCACGAGGCCAAGCTTCTGCTTCATCTTCTCAATTATCGTCAAAAGGCACAGGATTAGAACTTCAAACTTGTTTCTTTCGATGTTTTTAGTTTTCTAACAAAGTTTGGTTGATTTTCTTTCTTTCTCAAAACCAACCTCGTGGATTAAGTTCGTTAAGAAAATGATTAAAAGAATGACTAGAATTAGGGGAAGATGGTAATTAAGAAAGTTTTGATTTTTTTTTTTCTTTTAAAATTCAATAATCCATTCGACGTTTTCTTTTGTAATTCTCCTATAAGGTCTTTTTTCTTAATGCCAATATTTGTTAATGCTGCTGCATTTTAATAGTTTCACATGGGATAGTTTAGATTAGGGGTACTGTTAAATGCTAATTAGTATTTATAACTCCACCTAATAGGTAAAAATTTTGAGATGCAAATATCCTGCATATTTTAACTTCAGGTTGAAGCAAGTTCACGTCAACTAGCAACAGCGTAAGAAGGAAAGACACTTTTTTTAAACGTAATAGGTTGACCTTGTGTTAGATTTCCAAAGTTGTTGAGAGAGAAAACTGTTAAACATTTTATTCATATAAATAAACATGTATTTAGCCAAATCACATAAATCCATATCCATGTTCATATATAAATACAGCCGAAATAAATCAATACTACTAACCTCCTGTCATAGTAATTTGTTGTTGCTGTCTTCTTCAAAGATTACATATTCTTCTAAGGCATTGCAATTCTTATAATTATGGTTTTGGGAATATCATAATTAATTATATGTATTGAGAACTTGTAACTGTTTCTTTTTTAAAGTGTACAGAAATCATTTCATGAAAGACAGCTATGAGGGATAACTGTTCAATTACTGAGAAATTATTCAACAGTTAAATATTATATAAAGCTAATATATAAAAGTGAAATGACCAAATAATAATTAATGAATTTTAATCAATTAAAATTCTAACAAAAACGTAGTAGGCAGAAGGTAGCAGAACGATGTTGGTCTGAGAAAAGATTGTTTTAAACCAGAGAATGGCTCAGGTTCAACTCAAAGTTAGTAAACTCGATGTTGGAAATAGGTTATTAGTTATGTTGATCTTAATCAGAACGGTCCTCTTTCTCATTTCCAGAACTTTCTTTGCTAAAGCCTTTGGTGATAATTTTGTTGCGAACTTCCACAAACCTTTTGCCTAGCTGATGACGTCTAGCTATATATGATTTCTATCTCTCAACTGATTCGCTGAGACCAGAATTGCTTTTTTGTAAAAATAGAAAAATTCAGTAAACTTATGATCTATTAACATATATAAATGTTGGAGGGTAAAAACATGCAGAATAAAGGTTTGACACGTGTCTCCAAAGTGGGCCATCACCTAGTAGAGAAAGCAAGCTTTAAGGAAAGAAAGAAAGTTATCTTTCCCGAAGCCAGGTACTCACTTGCATGAAGAGAGTTTCACCAATAAGAATGTCATCCAATCCTCTTTCCACGTGTCCACTTGCATGAGAATTATTTCACTCACAAAGATGAGAGTGCGGTGCCACATGCACAATTGCATGTAAACTACATCACACCCAAGATTACCTCCGAAACATTATAAATAGGAGGTTCTCACTCCACACAAAAGGATATCAAACATCTTTTTACTTCAAGAACAAATTTTCCTTGTAAACCCATCTATTATTTATAAAATAATATTGGATGTAGGAATTGTTTAAGCTTCCAAACCATTTTAAAAATTGTTCGTGTTTATTTCTTTACGCATCTATTGCCTTGCATCTTATTTTGGATACATACAACCTCATTTGAACCTATTGGTTCACCATCATATTTACTATTCTACGGTCTTGCAAAGATCCTTTGCACAATTTTTCCGAAGACTTGCGTACATCTCGTTAGTGCTAAAAACCGCATCAACAATAAACGATTAAACGATATCATTCATGGAAATGAGTCAATAGTAGCATTGGGCTAGATGACCTGAAATTCTGAAACTTCAATCTCATCCCTTCCATCTTGACAACTTGTTGAGAAGAATGGAAGAATATGTAAGAGGCGTTTAGTTTGTAAAAGGAGTAGTACTTAAGTTTGTCAGTCTTGTATATTGTCCAAGTCATCAAAGTTAGCAGAGCCAGTTGTAAGTTTTAGCAAGTAGTGCCATTTCTTAAGCTGCATGGCACTCCTCTAACGCTTGTATATAAACACCAACCATTCTATCATGAATTCAGTTAGAAAAACTCTCAAATTGTTTCAATCAATTCTCTTTGTTTACACAACTCTATAAGATGACCAGGACTTAATTAGATCTTATGTGTTGCAGAAAATTAGTTAAAATCATGCTAAATTGAGAACTAAATTACAATTGAAGTTCAGATCTAAGTATATCTTGACTATAGATGATGAGTACAGCAGGAAGATCATAGCCAACATTTTCTTTCTTGGATGAGTCAAAAGTATTTGACAACTGATATATGTACAGTTTGCAGGTTTAGTTAGGGAGAATGAACTTCAGATCGATGAGGTTAGAATAAATTAGGGTTTATGTGATACTGCCCATCTCTCATGTAGTTCTTGTTTTGATCAAACTATTCAACTGTAATTAGATTTAACATTGTTGAGGAGTGTTTACAATGCTTTGAGCAATCTATAGTTGTTGATGTCTGATTTTGACACCAATTAATCGCACGTGGGAAACGTTGAGTCGACTCAGGAGACACACGTAAATGTATGAAATAATGAGAGTAAATGTAATGACAAATGAGTTTTAAAGTGGTTCGGATGCTGAGGAAGCAAATCCTATGTCCACTGATATTTTTATTAATGATAAGGGTCAGGTCGCGTTAACTGACTAACTTTACAATGATAATACGAGGTATCAAATGCTGCGTATTCTGGAGAGAGAGTAGCTAATCCCTTAAATGAGAGGAGAACTCTCAATTTATAGTGGGATAGATTATGGTCATCATTACTAAATCTGTGAGTTGGTGGGATTATCCGTACAAATCCTTCTTTATGTCACATTGTCCACCTTCTAGAGAAATTCATGCGATTTGTTACAGGGATTGGACACGTGGACATTCTCTAGCCTTTCTTCAGTTTGGCGCGCGCCCACTGTACTGACAGGAGTGTAATGATCGCATCATCATGCGACGCGGCTGCGCCAGAACGTCAGCGGACTCTTCCCGAGGTTTGACCATACTCACTTAACTGGGCGTCACGTCAGCCCTATTTTTCCAGGTATAACAGTAGTATAAGATTCAACTAAGGACTCGATCATCCATCGAGCTTAGAATAGTATTTGATAAGAGTTTGATTTACATGATCATATTGAAACCACGTTAAAAAAATTAGAGCACACATTTAGTCATGACAAAGCAAAAAATGCACCTGGATGGACAGAGATAATCAAGGGTAAGAAACACGTGATCACTTAATTGAAAATTTAACCAAACACAAATATTATAGAGTATATAACAGCTTGTTTTCACTTGATCTGTTAGTTTACTTATCCTGTAGTTTATTCTTCTAAAATTGCGATTCAAATTTCTTGCCTCTTAAAATTAAATTTAAATTTAAGCCAATCAGCAGAAATTACCCTATACATTGTTCTGGAGAAAGATATGAGACGACTTTAGCTTGCTTCTTATCGAGAATATGTTCTCTACATCTATCAAAATTATATTTCAGAGAGAATAGTCAATCAGAGAAAAAACAAGAAGAAGAAGAAGAGAAACTAGAAAAGAAAATAAACCCATGCTTAAACCTAAAGGCTAAAGCAGAGATAGTTTTATTTTTCATCATTTATTTAGTGAAGCTGACAGGACCTGCGCCGACCCTCCTTATTCCTAGAGAGAAGGTCGGGACGGGTCCTATCAGAAGAACTCTTCTAGAGTTGAAAGTCTCACACACATACATACTTACGTCTATATAAAAACTTCTTTAATTTTAACAAGCAAAGTGGTAGGGTGCATATCCAAGAAGCTTGTTAAATAGTAAAACAGGTTTCTTCAGTTTGATTTTGTACTTAACTTCTCCTGAAGCTTCATCTTCTTCCTTGAAAAGCTGCACTTTGAAGCCAATCTCAAGCTGCTTACTCTTAATAAATCGGAGCCAATCAGCAGCCGAAAGAACAGGCTTTCTATACCTTCCCCGACGGATGATCAAGCGAAAACGCCACTCCTTTCCTTCCTCATCCTCAACACTAAGAACTTGAGCATGCTGACCACCTTCAAAAGCAGGGAAAAAATCCAGACTTTTGGATTTGATACAAAGTCTGTTCTCAACATCCGTTTTAGTTAATTTCTTTGAGAAAATTTTCATCTTTAATTAGTTCAAGAAGGGAACAGTATGTATACAGAGAAGAAGAGAGACTTGAAGAGGGCTTGAATGAAGACTACCATGAATTATTACTTTTGATTCTTCAATATGAAACTTAGTAAAAACAGTCTTAAAGAGAGATGAAAAGGTAGTAGTAATAATTACAGGATAACTAGGTGGACGACATTGCAAATTGACTTTTTTGATTATGCATATCCACCTGCCTAAGTTGATTAATTCCATACCTTTTGATTAAGCACCAGCCAAAGTGATACACTTCCTAACGAGAGAATCTATATACAGTACCATGTAATGGGGATCTACTACATTATTTACGAGAAATCAGTAACATATTATCACATAGATATTGATTTTAAAAACCATGTATAAATATATATGGTTGGTAGATGGCATTGGTAAATGGTTTATTGGATATTAATAACATGATTTTTTATATCGGAAATTAGAAAAAATTGTCTTTTAATATTTATTGAAACTATATAATACAAGGAAATCTATATTTGAGATTGACTATAAATGTAGGAAATACATAATTATTAGAAAATACAAGAAATAATATGTAGGTGAGATATGAAGGTGTTCTATATTCACGCATCCTGCCCATAAAATTTACAGCTCAAGTACTCGACCCAAATATATTTCCTAATGAATATTTTTACTGTTTATCAAATTAAGTAGAAAGAATCTTTAATTATGAATCATTAGAGAACTACTTAAGCTTGGATATTATAAAGATCATATGTAACTTATTAAATATTGACGACCACTTTTTTATTAATTTTATTTCACTGCTTATTTTATGTATTGACTCGCCATTGATTCTGTTGGAGTTGTCAACTACTTCAGTATTTATGGGCCACACAGATATATTTAGGGGTCTCGTTGCCTAGTCAGTGGGCAGCGATCTTGCACCCTTGAGAGCGGTTGGGGTTTAGGAGGCAACACCCCCGACCCATAGGTGGTTTGGACATTTTCCATGTATCACCCCTGAATGATTTCTTTAAGTTATTAATTCCTTATTGGGTTTGAGATTAAGAATAGTAATCCTTATACTACTATGTTTTAGTCTTTTAAACCTAGTATAGAATCATACTTTTTTCTTGTAATAAATAATAGCAAACTTTAACAAAAACTACATTCATTATAAACGAAAGAGATGAGATATTATAATAATAATATTGACTTAACTAGACATAGCTTGCCAATTGGGCGAATCAAAATAAAATCACGGTATTATTCTTTCTCTTTATTATTTGTGGTTTGTATGTTTACTGTTATCTTGGTTTCGTATTAGTTCCTATTTCCTTCATAGTCAAATGAGTAAGCGCTTGAATTGCATCACATAGAATATAATATCTATCAATCAATTGAATGCCGAAATGTTGTCTTAATTATAGTTGAAAATGCCACATCCTCACCAGTTTGTCCATCAGCATATGCATCAGCAACAACACCAGTTTATCCATCAGCAACAGCAAAGCCCGGTGAAACCAAATAAACAAACAAATTAGTACGACTATTTCAGACACAATCATTTTCATGCAGCCAAAAGAGCACATTAAAGTCTTAAAGAAGATGAGATCTTTATGTAAATATTTAATTGAAGATAAGGAGCGTTGTCCATTAGTTGATTGAGATTGAAGAAGACCATGTGTTTGAAAGTTTATTCTTCCAACTTTAGCTTTTTATTTATTTATTTATTTAATGCAAATATTATTTGTTAATAAATTATTTTCTACCGTTCATCAAATTAAGTAGATAGATTCTTTAATTATGATTCATTACAAATAATCTCATTACGAAATTAAACCATATAAGCATAATTGAAGAAGACAATGTTGTTTTCGAAAATTTCTTATTCCCATCTCTTTAGTTTATTTATTTACTATATTATTTATCATTACTTATTAAATGTTCACTTATTATCCTAGGTTAATGGAAAATTTAGGAAAGCTATAACATTTTTTTTTTTAATTTATTCAACTTAGTGCTATTAATACCACAAAATATAGCATATATTCACAGAATAATATATATTGATGTCTTAATACAGCGATTATGAACACTGGTGGAATGATAATATGAAACGTATATATATGTTGGCATATTCTTAGGAAGCTATGAAAAGTCAGAAAAGATGTACTGGCTTCTTTCTTTATGCTCAGAAGCTTTTGAATCTTTAAATTAAAAGAAAAGAAAATACATTAAAAGTCTAGAGAGTGGTTGAATAATTACCTGCTTATAACACTTAACAAATACATGTAATTATGGCAAATTGTTCTCTTTTGTCCCCCTCCCCCTCCCCCGCCGCCCCACAAACAGAAAAAAAAAAAAAAAAGGCAGCATCATGACTTGGTACCCAAAATCAGGAAATTTACAGTGAGTAGCAATGGCACCAAGCAAATGAAAAGAACTTGAGTTGAAAAATATGGCTTAGAAAAAGCAAGACAGATCATCTATTATTATTCTTTTGTAATTGTCCATTCATTGTGTTAGAAAAAGATATATAATCTTTAGGATAAAGCAAAATCCTAGTCGTATCCACCAAGGTTGGATTAGATACTCTTTTTAAAGGGTTGGATTTTGATAATGAAAAAACTTTATTAGAGTTTCTATACTCTTATATTCTTCGTTAATCTCTCTTGTATCAGAGGTATAGAATACCCGAACCAAGTATAAATTATTAGACTCGGGCAGGGATTGAGAGAGAATCAGTACCTGAAAACCAGATAAAAACTTAAAGTCCAAAATTAAAAGTGAAAAAACAATAGTCTAAAGATAAACTAAAACACAAAAACCTATTTGACTAGGAATGTTATTTCTGCTTGAATTTTTTGAAAGAAGAAGGTAAAGATAAAAGAGAAGTAGTGAAGTAGAAGATTAAACTTAAGAAGAATGAAAGAAAAAATAATGTAGAGAATGAAGTGATGATTTATTGAAGAGAAAAGTACTACTTATGTAGGCTATAGGCAAGCCTTTGTAGTTGAAGTAAATTTCCTGATCATCATGCGTGAATTCAGGATATCTCACAGTCAGCTTTTACATTAATTCATAAAGTATGGCTTAAGCTGTATGTTTATTATATATTTATGAGTAAACAACTTTTTCCTATCCAAGGTTTGCCTTAATGACAATTTCCCACCCAAAAAGTTTCAAAATACTATTTTTCGACCCAAATTTTATATTCCATTAATACCTAAAATACACTTCACTTTTTCAGCTGACATTTAGCAAGTTACCAAGAGCAAGAGTAGGAGGCGTTTTGTAGATTGGAGGTCGGTGGATCAAATGGTGATAACCAATTAAATATTCGTCACCAAAATCAGTTGGAGATCAACTAAGAACAGAAAACTCTAACTTCGTGATGGCCGACAATCGTGAGATATTAGGTGTTGGAATGAGAGAGGTTTTGTATAGAGGAGATTGAAGGTTCAAATGGTAGTGACGAAAAGAATTTTCATCACTGGAATCGGCTTTGGGTAGTAACGATATAAACTTTGAGTGGAAAAGTGGTATTTTGAAACTTTTTGGGTGGAAAAGGTCATTAAGGAAAACCGGGGGGTGGGGTGGGGGATGGGTGTTGGGGAGGAAGTTGTTTAGTTTAAGTTTATACATATGGAACTATGTTAAAAGGGAACAGCGCCCATTTGTTTGGATACATGGTTATAAGAACAGATCTGCTCCGTGAGAGGAAGCAAGCCTCCAAGAAGAAGAAAGAAAAGAGGGAGAAGTTTTATTACTCTTCGATAACCATCTTAACAAGAATCCATCCTTTTAAATAACTCTAAACCTAAACATCCTAAGTAAAAGGAAAATAATAACCCTCAACCCAACCCACCCCCACGGGGGCACCCTGCAATGTAATACTTTCTTTGAGAGGGGAGGGGGGGGGTGGGGGCCTGCAATGTATACTTTCTTCTCCCCCGGGGTGGCCCGCAATGTAATACTTTCTTCCCCCCCCCCCCCCTCGGGGCCCCCTGCAATGTAATACTTTCTTTCTAGTTAGTATACTCGTAATAATAGTAAAACTCATTAAATAAATAATATAATATATAATATATATATATATAATATATATATATATATATATTATATATATATAATATATATATATGAGAAATATACATATAAACGAGTATAAAATTATGGGCCCATATTTAATTTTTTTTATATACAAATCTTTACAAATAAAATAAGATCACAAAATAATAATAACTCGACAGTTTTGTCCAACCCTTTCACTGCGTGATGTTCCAAATGACCGCATCTCATCTATTACTTGCAAAAACATTGAAAACAATGGGGTGAACACTAATTGCTCAGTAAGTAAACCCGATATACTACCCTTCTCTCTCTGTTGCTTAAATTCTGAATTTATTTCCTTACTTCACACTTCCCCATTCTTCTCTACATTGAAAACAATGGGGTGAACACTAATGCTCAGTAAGTAAACCCGATATACTACCCTTCTCTCTCTTTGCTTAAATTCTTAATTTATTTCCTTACTTCACACTTCCTCATCTTCCTACAAACCCCAACACCCCCCCCCCCCCCCCCCCTCCTTTGACACCTACTTATTCCCAATCCTATCCACTAACTAAGAAACATTGTGAATCATCTGTTTCCTCTAGCCAAGGCTTAGGCGACATACTCTGTAGACCAACTGGTGGTTGACGCACCTTCATCGACCTTCTTAACTCCTCCGAATATGCAAGCCTAACATTTCCATCCCCATCCAATACAACCTTGCCCTCAAGTTTGAAAGGAAACTCCCCATTAGCAGCCATGAAAGGCCCAGCATACTCCCACGAAGTACCCTCCAGCGGCAGCCCTTGCCACTGTACCAGAACTTGCGCCACAGCCACACCATTTTGGTGCATAGTACGATCCCCACAATTGCCAGCGACGACACCAATGGATGACCCCGATAGACGAAGGGCGACAACGCCAACTCTCTTTCCTACAGCTCTGGACGACAAGTT